TGACAACGACAATAAAGACAGCATCTGAGAGGTGTCCACAGTGTAGTATTGCTTCGTGTACAAACTCACGATGTGACGAAAGGTCGTAGAAAACTACGTTCCCAAACCAGGCGCTTTGGAACGGGGTCGGAATTATTCCAGCCTTGTGAGCACTGACGTTTGAGACGCTGAAAAATAAATGAAAGAATTGACTCTTGACACCTTCAATTTGGAGGGATTTTATAAGAGTGCTCTTTCCTGCATTGGAATCGCCAACAACAATGACTGGTATGGTACTCTCTAGCTCCGCCTTTGGGAATCGAATGGCAGGGAAATGCTGTCTGAAATCAGGATAGAGATTGAGTGGATTCCCATTTGAATGTTCCATGACTAATTTGAGTTTAATGAGAGAATTGGGTGAAGGATCACAGGCTGCTATCTGTAGCAGGTTGGCGTGATTAGATGGGATGACAGCTGCTTTAGGGAATTCCAACAATGCCTTAATAATATCAATACTATCAACGTGGAATGCAATGTGTAATGGGGACTCTCCTTTCGCATTTCGTAGCCACTTCAATGACTCCTCATTTCTCTTGTGTATTGCAGTGAGAACAACTTTGACCATTTCCAAGTTATTGACAGTGACAGCAATGTGTAGTAAAGATGAACCCTCTTTGTCCACTATTTGTAATAACTCCCCTAAGTCATCACTGGGTAGCTGAGGATCGTGCAGCAACCTGGAAGCGTCTTCCAAATTCCCCAACTTCATGAATCCGGCAATATTTTGAAACAAGTTCAAGAGAAGCCCCTGTTCTTGAGATGTAGTGTTACCTCCGTCTGCACAAACTTCATCAATGGCATTGTTTGATGGAGGCATCTCACTAGCATCAACCTATTAGAAAAACAACATAGCATGTCACTATTATCAATATTATTATTTTGAGTTTTCATGCAGGACCTGAAATTACATTCCAACAATGTTCAGACACATTGCTTAATTAATTTGATCTGCTATTATAATGAAATGACCAGACAAGGTTTCTAACAGGATTTTGACAAAGTGCTCATGCAGTTTTTTGTCAGTGGATTGTCAAGTTGCTCAGAAATTGGACCAAAGACTCTTATACCTTATATAGCATATACAGAGTATTTTGTCAAAAATGGCTAGGAGAAACTTCTCCATTTTTATAATTTTTCCTGATACATATACATGTTCTTATGTTGTGCAGCAAGTTTGAGCTGATTCCAATCAAGTTCAGATTTTTTTTTACAAATTTCGCCAAAAATGAAAAGGAGGGAATTTTCTATTTTTACAATGCTCTACCATGTATAGTTTAATGTGATTTTAACAAGACATGTTTGTTACTATAATGTGCATTCCACACACCTCTCTCCTTACTTTTATGGAATTAGTTCCAACTCTTAATTCAATTACTCCAATCTCATTCAGTAGCTCCATATTATCAACTGCAGCTTCAGTCAAGTACTGGACAGCCCCCACTCCAGTACACCACACTAACTCTATGGAGCCTTTCTTTGCAGCAGCAAGAGCTAGGACATAATTCTCACAATTGAAAATAGAAGTGACATCTTTCTGCAACCGGTCGAGATTATTCCTGCCGTACTTATCGTCAAGTATCATTTTAATGGTGCATCCTTCTGTCTCGGCTCTCTCTCTTTCTTGGTCTGTCCAGTTAATTTGTTGCTTCGTCATCAGTTCCACTAACTCATCAACTGTCGTCTCTTGATTGAACTTATCCACAGATGAAGAGTACTTCTCAAACTCTCTCTTGGTCTCTTCCTCTCCGAATTTATCAACAAGACACTTGAGCAGGTCGCATTGATTGAATCTAATCAATGGTTGGATTACGTCGTAAACTTTATCTAAAGTTTGAGCCTCTTTCAGTTGAGGAATGAGACTGTCCGATGATGTGGACGGATGATGATTGCTCCTACTGATTGGTAGCCCGCATATGTAATCCACGAGGACTGAAGGGTCTGATATTGTCTCGCTTGATTTAGACTTTACTTTAGCTACAAGTGAAGCGAAAGCATTGACAAGCTCTACAAGGAACAAAGCAGTATAATAAACTGACATTTAAATGTGAACTTAATATGTTACCTGCGGGCCAAGGAGCTGGATCAGAGACTTGTTGCTGGGCCTGTTAATGACATGATGTCAAAGCTAATCTATAAATCGGTATTAAGTAAGCTTACTTGTAGATTGTTGCCCATAATGAATTAATGACTGATGTTCTCAGGTCTATCTGAGGGCTATCTTTTCTTGATCTTCGACATTAGGGTGGAGCTTAATCATAAATTGCGTGGGTGGTAGAAATGGTGTTTTTTAACGTGCCAAAATAGTCAGTTTTTTGGATATATATTTATACAGTAGGTAGAACTGACACTAAAGTATTACATTGTTTTTAATGCTATAATAATAATAATATTATCTACGTTGAATAAATGAAACAGTTTCTGGTGGAATGAGAGCAGCTCCTGCTAATCTCCCATCATCAAGAAGAAAATTAAACGTTGCACAAGCATTAGCCTATTAAAAGAGATAGTGTTAAATGATATTAATAATAAAGTGCATTATTTACTGTGTCTTGTATCTCAACACTGATTCCTCTGCCCTGCAGATACCTCTTCACTGCAGTATCAATATTGACCATTCTACTTCCGGTACCAAGAATAACTAGCTCTGTTTGAAAATAAATAAAATAATTTAAAAAAAATAAAAATAAAAAAATAATAATAATAATAAAAGAACCCACAGTACAAGGGGTAAATATAATTTTTTAATGAATGCATTTTTAACATAAAGTGCAGTTAATAATAATGATGATGATGATGGTGAATAAATATAATATTTAAAATATCAAACCTAATTTGGGTTCAATGAGAGTGAATATACTCATTGATTCCGGTGTTATAGTATCAGCACTGTTAATCTTCCAGTGGAAGAATCCTCTTGGTAGCAAAGCGACGGAGCCCATGACTTGAACACCTCTTAGATTGAATCCCTGCACGCTGTATCCTGATATTAATGGAGCGGTCTCTTCTACACTAACACGACTCAGAGTTGTCTGCAGTACCATTCCTCCACCGTCTGAGTGGTGCCTGATTCTGTAGAGAAGAGGAGATTTCATGAAATGATGAGAATTGAGTAGCCGCCATTTTGATGCCATGACCACGCCTATATTATAAAAATCACACCCACAATTTTTGCACTTATGCAAGATGGAGGTTATGTAACTTAAAGAAATATAGAAAGAAATATCGTCAACAAGATGCTCTCGTATCTTTCTCTTGGGCTGAGGCAGCCAGGACTGCTGCCTCGTGTCCTTCTAATCCCTGCCCTGAGACGGAATTCTCTTTCATTGAGGAATTACTCAAATAAAGGTATAGAATAATAACATTAGGAATTGAGATATGTAATTATTATATTTTAGGATTTGAAAGGTTTAAATTGGGGCGACAAAAAGAAGCAAAAGGTATTGTTTAGAGTATTTGAGGTGGAAGGGGTTTTAAAGTAATGTACTGCTTATTATTAATGTATGTAGCCCCAGGGTTTCTTACAAACCACATGCTAAGTAGCATGGAGCAACTTTGAAAATTCATAAAAAATTCAAACTTGATCGGAATTAGCTCAAACTTTCTACACAACATAAGAACATGTATATGTATCAGGAAAAGTTATAAAAATGGGGAATTCTCTCCTTTTCATTTTTGACGAAATTTTGCCAAAGTCCCTGTACTATAGTACAGGGACTTTGGCCCGATTTTTGAGCAACTTTAAAAATTTATAAAAAATCCAAACTTGATCGGAATCAGTTCAAACTTGCTACACAACATAAGAACATGTATATGTATTAGGAAAATTTATAAAAATGGGGAATTCTCTCCTTTTCATTTTTGACGAAATTTGGCCAAAGTCCCTGTACTATAGTACAGGGACTTTGGCCCAATTTTGAGTAACTTAAAAAATTCATAAAAAATTCAAACTTGATTGGAATCAGCTCAAACTTGCTACACAACATAAGAACATGTATATGTATTAGGAAAAGTTATAATAATGGGAAATTCTCTCCTTTTCATTTTCTACGAAATTTTACCAAAATCCCTGTACTACAGTTTAGTACAGGGACTAAAAATCTACCATTAAGATGCTGAGTACTATGCCAAAAACCTATGGGAAACCCTGATGTAACCCCTGCCTTCTAGTTGAGACTGTCTTTTAAATTCATAAAAGTTGTAATTCATTTTGGTATTATATCAATTAACTGCATTTTTAATTAGGAGGGAAGAGTAACAGTGAGAGTTCTGGCTCTTCAGGAGGTTCTCCGAATAACAAAGGAAGAGGAGACTGGATGAACAAGAACTGGCTAGAGGAGATCATGAAGCCCGAGCACAGAGGAACATGGCTTTCGCTTATCATTGCTGCAGCTGGAGGGTATTTCCTCTTTCGTTCGTCTGACGGTCAGGAAATATCCTGGCAAGAGTTTCGTACTAGATACCTT